AGATGAAGGAAAGAATCTTAAAAACTGTGGGGCAAAACCATCAGGTAACCTATGAAGGAAAACCTATCAGAGCAACAGCAGATTTCTCAGCAGAAACCCTACAAGCTAGAAGGGATTGGGGTCCTTAAACGAAACTATTATCACCGAAGAATTTTGTATCCAGTGAAACTAGGCTTCATAAATGAAGGAAAGATACAGTCTATTCCAGACAAACATTGGGAGAATTTGTCACTAGCAAGCCAGCACTACAAGAATTGCTAAAAGGAGCTCTAAATTTTGAAATAAATCCTCAAAATACACCAAAATAGAAACTCCTTAAAGCATAAATCTCATAGAACCTATAAAACAAAAACAGAATAAACAAATTTTTTTTAAAAAAAGGTATTCAAGCAACAAATAGCACAATGAATAGAATAGTACCTTACATCCCAATACTAACATTGAATGTAAATAACCTAAATGCTCCACTTAAAAGATACAGAATGGTAGAATGGATAAGAATTCACCAACCAGGTTTCTGCTGTCTTCAGGAGATTTTTCTAACCCACAAGGACTCACATAAACTTAAGAAAAGGGGTTGGAAAACAATATTCCATGCAAATGGACACCAAAAGTGAGCAGGAGTAGCTAGTCTTACGTCATGCAAAAAAAACCCTTCAAGGCAACAGCAGCTAAAAAAGACAAAGAGGGAAATTATATAATGATAAGAGGACTAGGCCAACAAGAAAATGTCACAATTCTAAATATATATATACACACCTAACACTGGAGTTCCCAAACTTATAAAACAAGTACTACTAGACCTAAGAAATGAGATAGATGGCAACACAATAATAGTAGGGGACTTTAATACTCCACTGACAGCACTAGACAGGTCATCAAGACAGAAAGTCAACAAAAAAACAGTGGATTTAATATATATACCTATACCCTACAACAAATGAACTTAAGAGATATTTACAGAACATTCTACCCAACAACTGCAGAACATACATTCTATTCATCAGCACATGGAACATTCTCCAAGGTAGACCATATGATATGCCACAAAACAAGTCTCAGTAAATTTAAGAAAATCCAAATTAAATCAAGTACTCTCTCAGACCACAGTGCCATAAAATTGCAAATCAACTTCAAAAGGATCCCTCAAAACCATGCAAACACATGAAAATAAAATAACTTGCTCCTGAATGATTTTTGGGTCAATAATGAAATCAAGATGGAAATAAAAAATTATCTAAACTCAACAATGATAGTGACACAACCTATAAAACTTTGGGATACAGTGAAAATGTTGCTAAGAGGAAAGTTCATAGCACTAAATCACTACATCAAAAATTCTGAAAGAGCACAAATAGACAATCTAAGGTCACACCTCATGGAACTGGAGGAACAAGAACAATCCAAACCCAAACTCAGCAGAAGAAAAGAAATAACAAAGACCAGAGCAGAGCTAAATGAAATTGAAACAAACAAACAAAAAATACAAAAGATGAACCAAACGCTTGTTCTTTGAAAAGATAAATAAAATTGATAGACCTTTAGCAAGATAAACCAAGAAAAGATGAGAGAAGATCCAAGTAAGCTCAATTAGAAACAAAATGGGAGATATTATTACTTATGCCACAGAAATACAGAAGATTATTCAAGGCCAATATGAACACCTTTATGCACATAAATTAGAAAACTTAGGGAAGGTCAATAAATTCCTGGAAATATACAAACCTCCTAGATTAAGCCATGAAGATAGAGAAACTCTGAATAGACTGATAAAAGCAGCGAGATTGAAATGGTAATTTAAAAATTGCCACCAAAAAAAAAGTCCAGGACCAGACAGATTTATAGTTGAATTCTATCAGACATTCAAAGAAGAATGGTACCAATACTATTGACACTATTCCACAGGATACAGAAAGAGGGAATCCTCCTTAAATCATTCTATGAAGCCAGTATCACTTTAATACCAAAACCAGTGAAAGACATAACCAAAAAAGAAAACTATAGATCAATGTTCCTAATAAACATAAATATAAAAATCCTCATCAAAATACTAGCTAACCAAATCCAACAGTATATCAAAAAGATAATCCACCATGATCAAGTGGGTTTCATACCAGGGACGCAGGAATGGTTTACCATACACAAGTCAATAAATGTGATACATCACATAAACAGAATTAAAAACAAAAATTGCATGATCACTTCAATAGACACAGAAAAGGCAGTTGACAAAATCCAGTGTCCCTTTATGATGAAAACCCTCAGGAAAATTGGCACAGAAGGGACATACCTTAAGGTAATAAAAGCCATCTGTGACAAACCCACAGCCAACACTATGCTGACGGGGAAAAGTTGAAAGCATCCCCCTGAGAACTGGAACAAAACAAGGATACCCACTTTCACCACTTCTATTCAACATAGTACTAGAAGTCCTACCCAGAGTAATCAGACAAGAGAAAGAAATCAAGGGCATCCAAATCAGTAAACAGGAAGTCAAACTGTTACTGTTTGTTGATGATATGATCATATATCTAGAAAACCCTAAAATCTCCTCCAAAAAGCTCCTAGAACTGATAGAATTCAGCAAAGATTCAGGATACAAAATTAATATACACAAATCAGTAGTTCTGCTGTATACCAACAGTGACCAAGCTGCTGATCAAATCAAAACTTAACTGCTTTTACAACACCTGCAAAAAATAAAACAAAATACTTAGGAATATACCTAACTAAGGAGGTGAAAGAGCTCTACAAAGAAAATTATGAAACACTGCTGAAAGAATCATAGACTACATAAACAAATGGAAGCATACTTCATATTCATAGATGGATAGAATCAATATTGTGAAAACGAACATACTGCCAAAGGTGAACTATATATTCAATGCAATTTCCATTAAAATACTGCCATCATTCTTCACATAACCAGAAAAGAAAAATCCTAAAATTCATGTGGAACCAAAAAAGAATCTGCATAGCCAAAGCAAAACTAAGCAAAAAGAACAAATCTGGAGGCATCACATTACCCAACTTCAAACTATACTATAAGGCCATAGTCACCAAAACAGCACGTTTTTATTGGTATAAAAACAGGTACATAGACCAATGGAACAGAATAGAGGACCCTGAAATAAAGCCAGATAGAGCCAACTGATCTTCAACAAAGCAAATGAAAACATACAATGGGGATACTTAAATCTAAGTCCTGAAACCATAAAAATTCTAGAAGACAACATCAGAAAACCCTTGTAGACATGGGCTTAGGCAAAGACTTCATGACCACACACCCAAAAACAAATGCAACAAAAACCAAGACAAACAGATGGGACTTAATTAAACTAAAAACTACCTGCACAACAAAAGAAATAATCAGCAGAATTGACAACCCACAGAGTGGGATAAAATCCTCACAATCTTTACATCTGACAAAGGACTAATATCCAGAATCTACAAAGAACTCAAACAAATCAGCAAGAAAGAACAACCAATCCATCAAAAAGTGGGCTAAGGACATGAATAGACAATTGTCAAAAAAGATATACAAATGGTCAACAAACATATGGAAAAATGCTCAACATCACTAACTGATAGTGGGGAAATGCAGATCAAAACCACGATGCGATACCACCTCACTCCTGCAAGAATAGCCATAATCAAAAAATCAAAGCATAATAAATGTTGGCATGGATGTGGCAAAAGGTAACACTTTTACACTGTTTGTGTAAATTTAAACTAGTACAACCACTATGGAAAACAATGCAGAGATTCCTTAAAGAACTAAGAGTAGATCTATCATTTTCTCCAGCAATCCCACTACTAGGTAACTACCCAGAGGAAAAGTCATTATACAAAAAAGATACTCACACAAGCATGTTTGTAGCGGCATAATTTGCAATTGCAAAAATATGATCTCTTCAGATGCTGTTATGGACAGAATTGTGTCTCCCTAAATGTATAAATGTATATGCTGAATTTCCCATCTTTAATGTGACTGTATTCAGATTAAGAAAGTAATTAAGGTTAAATGCAGTCATAGAGTTGGGATCCTAATCTGGTAGAATTACTGTCCTTATAAGAAGAGATATCAGAGCTCTCTCTCTCTCTCTCTCTTTCTCTCTCTCTCTCCCCCTCCCCACCCCCCGCCCCTTCCTCTCTCCCTCTCTCTCTCTTCACCACGCGAGGAGGAGGACGTAGTGAGAAGGCAGCTGTCATCAAGCCAGGAGGAGAGCCCTCTCTGGGAACCAAACTGGCCTGTACCCTGATCATATGCTTCCCAAACTTCAGAACTCTGAGAATTAACTACTTTTTATTAAGCCAACCTAGGCTACACAAAGAGCTTATGATATTTTGTTATGGCATCCCAAGATGACTAATACAAATGCCACATAAATACAACATAAATAAATACTGAAAGGAATACCCCACACACCCAGTTCACATGAAAAATCTCAATGCAACGTTATAAAAATATTACACAAATTGTAAATCTGTGTCCAAATATCCAAGAGCTTTTAAGAAATCATAGGGTAAAATGAAATGTTTGAAGAAAACACTAATTATTAGATGCATTAGTCGGCTCTGCTGCATAACAAACAAGCCCCAATACTAAGTGGCTTTAAACAAATGCACATATTAGGAGTCATCAGGGTAACTCTTGGATTCTTGCTAGATTCACTCATGCATCTGAATCAGCCGTGGGTCTAGTAGGCAGCTCTTCTGGTCTTGGGTGGACTGTCTCACACATTTAAGGATCATCTAACTCTGAGCTGGCTTCTAGATGGAATAATGGGACTTTCTTCCACATAGTCTCTTATCCTTCACAAGTTGGCCTAGGCTTATTCACATGGCAGTGGTATGGTTTCAAAAGAAAAAACAGAAGCATTCATGACTGCCTAAAGCCTAAGCTTAAAAGTGGCACCTTAGCTCTTCTGTCACATTCTATTGACCAAAACAAGGCACAAGGTTTAGCCCAGATTAAGGGAGTAAGGCAATAGACTTACCTCTTGATGGAAGAATCTGCAAGGTCACTTTGCAAAGGGGATGAATACAGGGAGGCCATTAATTGTGGACTTCAATGCCATTGATTTACATTAGAGAACCTGAAAAAGCAATTTATAAAATGAATGTATGCACAGAAATGGAGGTGGGAGGGTTGGCCCATATAGGGATAAATTAGGGCTGACATTTCTTAGGCATAATTATCATAATTTAAGAAGTAGTTATACATACAGAGGTGTGGGAGTACAGAGATAATTCTAATTTTCCTAATGAAAGAAAATTCACTTCTTTAAAGAACATTTGAAAGAATTTAAAATGAAAGATTTTAATTACATAACCTTAACATGAAGATATTCATTGTCTGAAGTAAATCAATTCATATTGTGCCAAAATCTGTGAGTTTCATTTTTCCTTTCCTGTTGTATGAATATTTCTTTGTAATAATTTCCTTTGTACAGCACAATAACTACTGAGCCCAGTCTGCCAATCCTCTCTGAGTAGGAGGCTGTCAAACGGTACACAAGAGTCAGGCAAAACGCAACCATCTTTCTACATCGTGACACTAAAGAATCAAACCAAAAGCTTTTAGTAACATGGAGATAATAAGTGAGTTTTAGCCCTAAGTGTACAGAACAAAACTTTCATTATTACAGCATAGCAGAGGCAAAAGTCAAAGAAAGGCAAGCAGACGTCATTTTCTTTTAAACCTTCAACATGTTTATTTTTATTTGACATTTGTTAAATAGAATTAAAAAGTCACACTAATGTTCTTTGTAAGGAGCTTTTTTTTTTTTGCTTTTAAGTCTAGTTGGAAGAATAAATATGGAATTTAACAAAACAAAATTTCTATTAAAAACAAAATTATGATTAGTTTGTGCCTCACATGTTCACGCATCTTCAAGTATACGAAAAAAAATCCCTTATTTTCTACAATTAAACGTAATTTCTACTTTGTGTCCTGACTTTTCCAGGGAGGTGAAAACTTCATGTTAGCCAACTTAGTGGCCCCTCCATTTTTCCTCGGAGTTGTATATATGCTCCAGGGAGCTTACATCGTGCCAAGGTATTGGGGGCACAGGAGGGGATGTGGCTTTCTTGTCAGCAGCTATGAGCCGTGGAATCCACAGAGACGTCCAGCATCCCTCCTGGGCCTCAGTCATCTGTTCCCGTATTGCACTAGCTTTGCTTGGTTTCTGCCACAAGACCCCTCAGGTCCAGCAACAACCTCCATGACTTCCATGTTCCTGTTCGGTGCAAAGGAATTATTCATTTTTCTTGCCACAGAGTGTGGAAATCCTAGCTGGTCTGTTTTAAGGTCTTGTGTGCTAAGATATACCACTCCGCCAATTCAGTTTTGGGGGACCTTGTCATTGCTCAGATTCTTAACTAGGAAAGGAGGCAGTGTCTTTCCTCCTTTGGGATATACTCCCCACCCCAGGCCATCTGGGTTTGGTTTGGTTTGGTTTGGTTTGATTTTTCTGCCTCTGGGGGGTGGTGGGGTGGGTGGCGCTGGTGGGGGGATCTATCATGGAAGTAAGATAAAGGACTTTTCACCCTGAACTACTGACATCCACATTCTTAACACTTCTCCTGACTCTTTCTTCTCACAGGCCCAAAAAACCTTCTTTCCAAGGTCTGTGGGGTAGGAGGGTTGTTCTTTCTCATATAGTATTTTCTTCTATGTCTTTCATCAAAATTATGAGTAATTTTTGTTTCTCTAAGGAAGGGAAGTGGATATGTTACATTTAGTTTGGGAGTTAGTGGGAAAAAAAAATACAGTTGGCTTCTTTACAACCAGCTCTGGACTTCCTCCCATGTTTAATTCTATTAGAACTATTCTTCATAGTGTTTCACTGTTTGCTATTACTTAACAAAAATTAGAAAATCATTTTATTTGTAAATAGACTTAAACATAGTTCTCAAAGGAGCAACATTCAGAAAAAGACTTCTTTTTTTTTTTCTAGTTTCTGCTTTGTGTTTTCTCCATGAAACTGCCCAGTTGCTTGAAAGGAGTAAAGGTCAAAGAGGAAAAGCAAATGTAAAGGGAAAAATATTCATTCATAATTTTAAATAGTACCCTTCCACACTAACAATGATAATCACATTTGTTTTACACATAATTATTTGTTGGGGTGGGAATATGTGATTTTCTTTGACAGCACAATCGGAATTACATCACGCCAGACTCATCACAAATGTAGGTCAAAAACAGTTCAATTTCCTGCAATAGTTGGTAGTCAATTCTAAAGTAAAATGGTGGGAGAAGACAGAGGATTGTCTGGGGTTTAGGGGAAAAACAGCTGACCGCTTTAAAGTGAGACGTGAACCTCCCTCTTTGTTTAATTCTAATATACTTATTTTTATTGCTGTTTTACTGCCTATTAATTAATAAAAATTAGAACATCATTTTATTTATAAGCAGGCTTGTAGACAAAGCCCATCTCTTGGCCAACCATCTATTCAGTTAGTTTATAAATTTGTCTGAGGTGAACAAAGACTCTTTACTTCTTCCCCACTAGGACCACACAACAAATACCACAAACAAGAATGATCTGGAAACACTTCCAGACTGCGTGAGGATGTGTGTATGGGGTTGTGTTTCTATATATCAATCTCCATTTCAAAACCAAATTGAATTTCTTAATTACTGTGGCTTATGCAGATAAAATCCTGAGTGTCCTGGGGGTTCAAGTCTTATTTTTGAGACCAATGAGTACTCAAGATTTATAAATATGAGTGTTGTCAATGCTTTTTCTCATTTTTGTTGATTTGGATAATCAATAATTATATCTTATTCTGGCAACCCCTGAAAGCAGAGGCTGAGACGATGTCATCTTGAGCAAAAGTAGATTATTTGAGAGAAAAATGTGGGAAGCAGAAGAGAGCAGGGAGAGTGACATATGGAAAGGCAATAAAGTGTGCCTTAGTTAGCCAGTTACCACTTAGGACCACTGGGGTTCAAATCATGGTGGGGACCCTCTGAGAAACTGTGTGGAACATGCCTCAGATTTATCTTCCTGAAGACTAGGAGGCTTGATGTTTGCCTCAGGGGATGTTAACTTCTTTCTCACTTCCCTCCTCTTCACAGGAGCCAAGTGTCTGCTATGGCTTAGGGAACTCATAGAGATGCTCATAATGTACAACTAAGGCTGGTGCTGACAATGTGCACAGTACTGTGGACATTTGATTGATTGAATTCTCTGAAGCTGAGTTTTCTCTCAGACAAATTGAAATAACACTTGCCTTGCTTTTCTTTCAGGATTTCTTCAGTTGTATTAATTCAATTAACCCTTGCCACACATTGTGTCATAGGAAAATATTCATGCCCATTTTGTAGGTGAGAAATTGGAGGTTCTGAGAGAAAAAGTAGTTTTCTGGGTCTTCAGACCTCATCAATGGTATTCCTTCAATATACCAAGCTGCTTCTATTGTAGGAATAGATGTGAAATTTAAAAAGGCCTTTGAAATGTGTAAATACCTTTGGATTAAGTCATAGTGATCAAACTATAAAATCCACCCCGTAATTTTCAGGCCTCAGCAAAACAAAAAGAGGACGCCTTAGTCAGAACTCTTTTGGCTGTGTCTGACAAAAATCCAAATTAGGCAAAGAGGAATTTATTAACTTTGGTAACCAAAGAGCTGAAGGGGAGCCCTCAAGTGATTCTGTTTCTGTTTCTTGGTTTCATTATCATCTGCTACGAACTAGCTGCTTCTTCAGGATAGGGTGCATTTCCATCCATCACTGCCAGAATCTCCAATATCTGTTATCAAAAGGAGCCTGTAACCTGTCTCTCCAATGCAAAATTATAAAATCCCAGGACAGAGCTCTGCTTGGTCCAGCTTCATTCAGACACACACCTTTAAAGAGGTCATTAATACCAGAGAATCAACATCTGCTTGAACTTTCAGGCCTTTGGACTGTGGGAGGACTCAGAGTAGAAGCATTTCTTGTAAAAGTTAGAAAGTGAAACTTTGTACAAATAAAACAATTCCTATCTATCTATGCCCTAGGAGAAAATAATGTGATTGCTACAGAAGACTTATAAAGCATTAATATTCAGTAAACAGAAAAGCTTAAATACTTTGACAGTTTTCTTTTTTTGTTCCTAAGTAAATTTGACCAAGTTGGACAATCTGCTCTGATGTTCTGACACCATTTAGGCATAGTCACTTTCTTAATTAAGAAAAGAAACTCCTACAGAATCGAGCTATAAAATATTTTTCTGTTAAGTATTGGTTATGTATTATCTTTTAAGGTCTATGCTATTGCTATGAATGTCCTCTGGGTGAGCTAAATGAAAATCAACATCAAGAAAAGCCTAAAGTAAAGAAAAAGGAGAAAGAGAAGGAGATCTGTATTTTGGAAGATGATAAGCTTTGGAGAAAATTGGAAATACAGTAATAAAATTAAGAACCCAATGAATGGGCTTAATAATAAATTACACATAACAGAAGAGAAAATTAGTGAAGTAGAAAACAGGTCAGAAGAACATACATAGAGGGAGAGTGAGACAAAAAGATGGAAAAATAAAGGAGAGGGCAACAAATGTAAAGAATTCACAAGAAGGCCAAATATATGTAACTGAAGTTGCAAAAGGACAGGAGAGAGGGTGTAGAGGTAAAAATTCTTTTTAAAAACATAATGGCATCCATTCTTTCCACCTTCTCTTCGCCTGTTATCTTTTTTTCCATTTCCATCTTCAGGTTCTTCCCCAGCCCTTCCTGTCCCACCTACGCTTCCCAAAGTGGTACAGTCAGCATGGTGGCTAAGAGTACACAGCAGTTAAGTAGGTGATAGGAAGCCACACAGATTATTTTAAAAATCAATAGAGTGGCTTCCTCAAGAAACTTTTCCTTTTATTTATTAAGTGGAAAAAATACCAAGAAAATCGTGTGTGTGTGTGTGTGTGTGTCTATAGTTTGGTTATCTTACAAGAGACATGCTTTTAAAATGAGGACACAGGAAACACTAAAAGAATATTATAGACACACACACTTCACATAAAACGCAGTAAAAGAAATGTAGTGTAGCAAACTGATACCAGATACAGCAGACTTTAATAATTCAACAGAAAGGTATGGCAGTTCTATGTGTGTATGC